ATAACCTTAAGCACCCTGTATATGAAAGAACCAAAGAAGCAATAGTTTAATACATGCACAATTTATTAGATTTGTATTCATTTAAATTCGAGATTTTTAATTAAATTTTTTATTTAAAATTTTGAATTATGAGTTTTTTTTAAAATTATTTTTTAAGCTGACTTACATAAAAATATATATAAGAAAAGCCAGTGAATTTATTTAAATAATCCTTCTTTTAATTTATTGAGTTTTTAATTAATCTCATAAATATTCTTATTTTTTTCTTTGCAAATCTGCAACTTTTTTTTTAACAAAGGCGAACTTCCTATTTTCTACCTTTACAAAGAGGATGTGGAAAGAAGTGCCCGACATTCTAACTCAAACGCACTAGGAGGCAACCGCCTACAACATCTGGTCATACTCACATGCTCTAAGCGCGGGGTTTAACTTAAACCATGAATCATTACATTAATATATTGGTGGATACAAAATAAAGTGACACTCTTTAGACTTTATGAAACAAATTTACTTTAAATATACATGTTGGTGTTTGACTTAATGCACGATCGATGTACATGTTTTTATTTATTGAAATAGGTGGGTTGGATGCTCTAGGTTGTAAATTGGTAGAAAATGGAGAATATAACAATGAAAGAGAATGACCCCAACTTCGCATGCTTGGTGATGGCTGAACTCTAATTTTTTTTTTTTTTATACCCTTACTTTGCTTGCATGTTCTAACAATCCACGCCTAAACTTATGCAATCAAAACTTAATTAATTATTACTCCATATTTTATTTAATGACTCATGGAATATTACACATAGATAGATAAAGTAAATGTACAAAATAAAAAAAAAATAAAATAAAATCATGCTAGCTAGGTTAGAACTTGAGTTCCAATTAATTTTTTAGCCTTGTTTTAAAATATTCCATCCTCCAGTAGAGCAAATTGTCAAATGTTTAACTCAGCTAAAGCCTAAAATAGGCATCCTTCAAACAAAACTTTAGGCATTAATAAATCTTAACCTTGCGTGTCTAAATATCCTGCATTTGCAATCTTAACTCATCTAAAAAAATTATAATATGATATTATTATATTAAAAAATTATTGTACAATCCATATTGTACATAGTTAGGCAAAACTAATAAGTAGAATTATAAAGAACATAAGGGTTCATAAATTTAAATTGTCTGGTTAATTTATGAGTGGGTAAATGCATAAAAGATTATTATTGTTTCATTGTACAAATCAAAATTAAAAAAAAAATTCTTACAAGAAAAAAAAATATTAATAACAATTGTGCTTAAATTAATTAATCATAGGAGTATATTATATGATAATCACACAATGATGATAACCATTTAATATTAAGATAATGCTGTCTATCAACATTATATCTCTTATGAGATATTCTAGTAATTAAGAGTTGAGCTTTTATATTGAATGTTTCAAATTAATTTGAATCTTCAAGCAAATAAAGAGGGATTTGTAAAGAATGGGTTTGAGGAGGCGAAGAGTTAACCGATCAAGAGATGTACCAAAAGTAAACATTAGTATATATATATATTTTTTCTTTTCCAGACCATCGTTTCTGTCTCTTGCCAAAAAGAACCAAACTTTCGGTTCAGCCATACCAACTAATGGTTAACCTACTTCCCCCCTGAAAAAACAAGAGAAAAAAAAAGGAGTAACCATACTAATTAACTACTTCAACACAGTATGATTCAGATAAGGATCGACTATCTTTAAAATTACCTCAAATCCAAAGCAACTTTTTTTGTTTTGGCCGACAATCTGTAGTAACTTTTTTTTTTTTTGAAAATTATTTCCACTTTTTCACTTTTTCATAAAAAGATTACTTCCATGTTAAGTATATTTTTAAAAAATGATTCTTATATTAATAAATTTCATTACTTAAGTGATGTTAGACCTTTCCAAAGGTTATTTTTCCTCTTTCAAAACCTCTCCTCTCTAGAATGGATATTTAAAAGATGTTTAAGATTATTGTGTAATGTTATGTTATTGCCCAAAAAA